GAGACTGCTAGGGCACGGGCGGCACTCGCAGCGGACCAACCCGCGACTGCGGTCATTGTCAGGGCCGCACACGACGCGCAGCATTGTAGGTCCATCCATCTGCGCGACCATCTCCAGCCAAGACCACGGCACTTTGACAGTGTGGTCCCAGTCCCAATCCCTGTTGTCCTGCGCCTTCCCCTTTGCGCGGTACTTAAGGATCTTCGAAATTTCCTCCGCAACTGCGGTACCTCCGAAGACGGGCGTGCGGCTGCCGAAAGGGTTTTCTCGGTCTTCGTACTCGTCTCGGAACCACTTCAAGGCCGCGTTGTGCTGCTTATAATTGCCGTTCCAGTTCGCCCTGAAGTTCTCGAAGAATTCCAACTTGAAAATTGGCAGCGGCTCATTGCGCACAATTTGAAACAGCGCAACTGCGCCTTGTTCTTCGCGCCCTGGGGGAAGCAGGGGACCGCCTCCTTTGCCCGCCGCTGTTGCGGCCGCGGGCTCCGCGGCAGGAGAACCTGCCGAGGCACTCGAGCGGCCACCTTCCCATGCATTCCACCAGCCACCCTCGTCGTCCCACCAGCGGGCGCCCTCCATTCCCCAACCCTCGCATCCGTTGCCGCCCCATCCGCCGCCCTCCCATCCGCGACTGCGGTCACTTCCGTCGCCGCCATCCTGCGCTTTTCCTCTCCATCCGCCAAGAGAATCTCCGCCGCCCCAGCCGCCACTGCGGTCACCTCCGCCGCCGTATCCGCCACTGCGGCCGCCCCAACCCCCACTTGTTCCCCAACCGCCGCCGCTGCTCTTTGAAGAATCCGCAACTGCGGCCCGTGTTTCCTCTTCCGCTTTGTCATCCCACCCTGCACGCATCTCTGCCCCGACTGCAGGCCGCGGAGGCGGGCGCGAGCCCGCCCAACCGCCGTGAAACCTACCGTCGGCGCGGGCTTGAGCCGAACGTGCATGGAGGAGGAGGATGAGGAGGAGGAGGGTGAATGTGAGGAGGATGATGCGTTCCTGGGAGGTGTGCCTTCGCGTGCAACACAAGAGCCCTGAGAATTCCTGAGGCCCCTCCAACAGCCAAGGACGCGGATGACAAGAAAGTCGAGAAGATTGGGAACCGATTGAGGATTAAGAGGCGTGCGACGAAAGGGATGATGATGACGAAGAGGAAGATCAGTGAAGGGGAGGAGCGGACAGGAATTATGGAGGAGTGATAGCAGAGGAGGAAGAGGGGGAAGGGGGAGGAGGAGGAGGAGGAGGAGGAGGGAGAGGAAAAGGGGGAGGAGGAGGAGGAGGAAGAAGGTGAGGAGGAGGAGGAGGAGGAGGAGGAGGAGGAAGAGGAGGAGGAGGAGGAGGAGGAGGAAGAGGAGGAGGACGACGACGACGAGGAGGAGGAGGAGGAGGAGAGGGAGAAGGAGAACGGGGACAGGAGGACAAGGACGGAGAAATATAACAAATGAGGGGGAGGAGGCGGAGGAGGAGGAGGACGAGGAGGAGAAGCAGGAAGAGGAGGAGGAGAGGGGGGAGGAAGAGTGCGCGTGAGACTGGGAGAACGAGGTAATTAATTAGAGAGGGAACGGGGGAGGAGGGAGGACAAGGAAGAGCATACAGCGACGAGAAGAGGAGAAGGAACAGACGAAGGCTCCTGCTGATCGCATTTCCGCATCGTTCAAAGCAGTGCCGGGGCACTGCTTTGAACGACTGGTGATGTTCAAAGCAGTTCCCCGGCACTGTGTTCCATCGTCGCCGTTATAAGGGCTATTGGATTATGGGGCCAAGAAACGTGTGAGGGGTGTCCCGAAATGGGCGCGGTGCCGCCACGCGAACGCAGCCACTGGAGCCCTCGGTGGAGCTCCCTCAGTGGCCACTAAACGTGTGAGGGGTGTGCCGAAATGAGCGCGGTGCCACCATGCGAACTCAGCCATTGGAGCCCTCGGTGGAGCTCCCTATGAGGCCACGAAACGTGTCAGCGGTGTGCCGAAATGGGTGCGGTGCCGCCATGCGAACGCAGCCACTGGGGCCCTCGGTGGAGCTCCCTATGGGGCCACGAACCGGGTGAGGGGTGTGCCGAAATGGGCGCGGTGCCGCCATGCGAACGCAGCCATTGGAGCCCTCGGTGGGGCTCCCTATGAGGCCACGAAACGTGTGAGGGGTGTGCCGAAATGGGTGCGGTGCCACTATGCGAACGCAGCCACTGGGGCCTTCGGTAGAGCTTCCTATGGGGCCACGAAACGTGTGAGGGGTGTGCCGAAATGGGTGCGGTGCCGCCATGCAAACGCAGCCACTGGGGCCCTCGGTGGAGCTCCCTATGGGGCCACGAAGCGTGTGAGGGGTGTGCCGAAATGGGCGCGGTGCCGCCATGCGAACGCAGCCACTGGAGCCCTCGGTGGAGCTCCCTATGGGGCCACGGAACGTGTGAGCGGTGTGCCGAAGGGGGTGTGGCTGACGCGGATGGGGGAGGGGGAGGAGGGGGCAGAGGAGGAGGAGGAGGAGGAGGAGGGGAGAACGCGGGGACCGTTTCCTCAAAACGAGGACCCAACACCACAGGCTGGTTGGGAAAAACAGCGCGAAATTGGATGGGCCTGCGGAGAGCAGAGGCAAGGATGGGAAGCAGGAAGGAGGAGAAGGAGGAGGAGGAGGAGGAGGACGAGGAGGAGGAGGAGGAGGAAGGAGGAAGGAGGAAGGAGGAGAACGCGGGGACCGTTCCTTCAAAACGAGGACCCAACACCACAGGATGGCTGGGAAACACAGCGCGAAGACCGCCGCCGACCCTCGCCGAGCGCCGCCCGCCCGGCGCGCCGCGGGGCGCGCGCGGCGCCCCTGCGGCTCTCCCTGTGCGCGCGCGCGCCCCCTCGGAGGCGGCGCGGCACGGGGGCCGGGGCTTCCACCGGCCTCGCCCCTGCGGCCACACACAGACACACACGCACACACACACACACACACACACACACACACACACACACACGCAGAGGGCGGCCCTGGGCAGGAGGTGCGCCCCGTGTGGTGCGCGAGCTCCCGGGGCCGCGGGGAGGCCGACGTGGAGCACGCCCATGCGGCCACACACACACACACACAAAGAGCGACCCTGGGCAGGAGGAGCGCCCTGTGGTGCGCGAGCTCCTGGGGCCGCGGGGGGGCCGACGTGGAGCCCGCGGGCCGCTGCTGCCGCACGGCGTGCAGCCAGCTGGGGGCCCCAGGGAGCCGGCACCAAAGGCCGCCCTGGCGAAAGGTCACCCCATACGTACAGTCGACCCGCAGAGTAAGGATGCGCGATAAGGATGCAAGGCCCTCGGACGCCCATCTCGAAGCGTTTCGAGCGGGGCGCGGCCAACGAAAGTGTCCAGGGATGGGCCCAGGAAGCAAGGATGCAAGGGTACCCTTGGGAGGGATGCCTATCCTTACTCTGCGGCTCGACTGTATGGCCGACCCAGGCACTCCGCCAGGTGTCGGCCGGGGTGCTGGCCAGTGCAGCCGAGGGGTCTCGTCCTGAACCCTCTGCAGGCCAGGTGCCAAGAGGGCGGACAGGCTGGCGCGCCGCTGGCAGCAACATCGGCCTCCCAGCAACCCGCAGCCAGACCAGGGCCCCTGCTGGGGATGGCTGCCCTGGGGAGGGACGGCGAGGCGGGGCAGGCGAGTGGCGAGGTGGAGGTGGAAGTCCCTGTCAGTGATCCTGAGGCAGGCCATGGAGCCATCCAACGTTTCGGCCATCGCCGTCTTAAAGGCGGAGTCGGTGGAGAGGGCGGAGGAGATGTTCGGCGTGCTCTACGCTCCCATCAAGGGCACCGAGGTCGCGGCGGGTGCCTTCCAGCGGGCGCCATGGGCTGCCACCGGCGCATCTTCTGGACGCGCAAGCGGGACTGCTGGCAGTCGGGTGGCCATCCCGCTCTCGCCAGACGTCCTCGCTGCACTGCACCAGGCGGTGGGGTCCCCAACGCAGCCTCCTCCGAGATCCGTCTCATGTCCATCTGGATCCCTAAGTCCACCAGATGAGAAGTGCAAGCAGCGGTGACCACAAGAGAGATGCGCAGTAGATCTTCGTTACGACATGTTGATGTGGTCTCAGAATCTGACGTTTACCCAGATAAGGCAGTCAAGTGTCTGTATGGCTGCTGGGTTGTACATTAGTATAACGCCCATCGCGTTTATACTCTTTGTGGGGAAATGAACATCTTGTGCAACACTGTATGGAGGGACTGTTCGCCTGTGACTAATAAATATGCTTGCAGGGTGAAGGCGTTTCTGAAATAGGATGAACACATTGTTTTATCCAGGATGCGGGCTCATATCTCTGTTGAGTTCGCATCAAGCATCTTGCCTATTGTTGTGTTTGCAGTGCCCCTCACTTCGATGAAATAAGAATTTGGGGGTCATCATTCGTAACCGGCACAATCGCAATAGCCATCACTCCGTAACCCCCATTCCCCACCCCCTTCTAGCCTGCATCCTCCTCCCCCTCCCGCTCCCCTCCCTCTCCTCTTCCTCGCCCGTCCGTCTCCTCCCTCCAACCTGCCCCCCTCCGCACTACTTCCCCTGTCCACCCTCTGTTCACCTCGCACTTCCATTCTCCACCATCCATCCTCCGACCTGCCACCACCCCTGTCCCTCCTCCTCTCCTCCATCCTCTCCTCTATGATCCTCTGACTCCCGACCCGTGCAGCATGGCCTCTGGCGGATGGCACAGCTGGGGGTGAGAACACGTCCCAGAAACCACAGATGTGCTCCAAATTCCGCATGTGACCACAGCGAATCGCCTCGACGTGCATCGTAAGTTGTTCCACTCTTCCCCCTTCATGACCACACGATGCGTGTATGCTGCGTACGGTCACATGTATTACAGAGTGCCCGTGCTACGAATGCACATTACAACCCAAAGGCCACATGTGAAGTCCGAATGACACGTACAATATCAAGTCTACGCCGCGTTTGCTGCACTTTCCCAGGTCATACATACACTGTAATTCCAATGTGTTTACCGCATGCGTGCACACTCGCTGCTCTTGACGTGGAATCAGCCGCGCCTTCAACGGCTTCAATGAAGTTGGCCGCTATCTGCGGGAACGTGGCAAGACACAGCAGAAGGCGCCTCCAGGACATCTGAGTATGTTGGGCGTGGCGGGCTGGGCATGATTGAGCCAAATGGGCTGCGACTACGTGACCAATGAGGCTACTCGAGGCTGGTGTCGCGGGACGGCACCAGATCCGTGGTGCGGTCCTGCGTGGTTGTCATCCTCCCTCCCTCCCTCCCGATCCACCCCCCTCTTGTGCCTCCGCTGCCCCTTCCTCCCAGAGCTCCCAGGCTCTTCCCAGAATCCCCCAGCCCCCATTGGATCCCACTTGCAACGACATACCTGCACTCCTACCTATACGACCACCCTCCGGATGATGCTGAGGTCGGGAGGGGGGAAGGAACCAACCGCGGACAACTGCGATAATTTTACCAGCCTGGAACATATCCATATCCCTACGCTGGGCATCTCCTCATCACGATGCCAATCTTAGGGATTCCCTTAATTTTTCAGGGCGAATCCCTAAGATTGTCATCGCCTTTTGGCGCGTCAATCTTAGGGATAGGGATAAGTTGACGCTGGTGATAGTTGTGCTGCTGGCGGTGCTGGTGCTGCGCCCACGGGCTGGCGCCCACTGCAAGACGGCGATGCCCACGACAGTGCACCCAGGACAACACCAGGACACCGCCAGGACACCATCGGAACACCAGTCGGGACGCCTCTAGGGACCACCATGACACCATCGGAACACCAGTCGGGACGCCTCTAGGGACGCCTCTAGGGACACCATCGAGACGCCATCGGAACACCACTGGGGCGCCATCAGGACACCAATCGGGACACCAATACGGAACACCGACGGGGCACCAATCGGGACACCAGTCGGGACACCACCGGGACACCGACCGGACACCGGCGGCGAGACACCGACCGCGGGACACCGACAGCGGGACACCGACGACGGGACACGGACGGGACACAGACAGCAGGACACCGCGACGGGACACCGACGGGACACCGACGGGACACCGACGGGACACCGACGGGCCACCGATGGGCCACCCACGGGACACCGATGGGACACCACGGCGGGCTATCCCAAGCCACGCCGGCCCACCAGAGGGGCGGTCTGTCGTCTTGACCCGCCCTGGCCACAGCGGGGTCATTCTTCTCGCCCGCCCACGCAGCTCCGCCTCGCCCGCACGCACGACACGAACCCGAAACTGAAACCAATTTCCTGGCGGGGGCTCTCCGTTCCACTTCGGCCTCACCCCCCAACCTCCGATACGATACTAAAGGGAAACTGGGACACACAAATCAATACACAGAAATAAAAGGATTCCCCCTATTTTCCTACATTTTCTGGGTTTTTGTCTTCCCCACCACTTCCCATATTTTCCCATATTTCCTGGGGATCGACGATTAATTGTGTCTGTGTGTTTTTTCCCCTCCTCCGATACCACCGCGTGACCCACCCACGGACCGCCCCGCGATCCGCGCGCGAACAACAGCAATCGATCCACCCGCGACCTCCCAGCGACCCAGCCAGCCCCTCGACCCCCCCCCCCCTCCCGACGCATTCACGCCCTGCCCGCCTTGCATTGAAAAGACCGGCGCCCACGGCGGGCTGTTACCCAAATAAGGACGCGCGGTATTAAGGACGCAAGACCCTTGGAAGCCGAAGTTGGGACTGTTGGGGCGGCGGGCGACGAAACACTCAAGGACGCAAGCGCAAGGAAGAGCAAGGACGCAAGGGTACCCTAAGCAACGTCGCGCGTCCTCATTGGGGTTTTTGACTCTACGACGCGCCTCCCCCTCCCCGCGCGACCCTTCCGCAGCCCGCCGGCGCCCCAGCCCACGCTGCGGAGCAGGAGAGCCGGCATCCCCTCCGATCCCGTCCTTGACATCCCCTCCCTTCCCCCCAATCCAGCCACCGCGCTCTCAGACTCCCCTCCCGGGCCGCCCCCGTCTGCCTCTTCGTCGCCGTCCTCCTCGTCCCCCCCTTCGCCGAGACCCTTAGATTCACCTCTTCTCGGCGTCATCCTGCTCCCCAACGCGTCGTCTTCCTCTCGCGCACCGCTCCTCCCCCAGCACAGGGAGGTGGCAAATACGCGCGGCAGCGCAACTGGACAGCCCGTGCCCCTGCCCACGCTCACATCCTGCCGCTCCGCCCCGCTCATGCCCTCTCCCGCCACCCCCATGTGGCTATAGCGCTCGCGCCTCGTGCCCGTCTCCCTCCTCCTCTTCGTCCCCGCACTCCTCCCCGTTGTAATCCTCCTCTTCGTCGCTCCCCCCCTCTCGAACGCAGCCGCGCACCACATGGGAAGATCCTTGTGTTCACCCAATCTCGCTCCAGTTGTCCGATGACTCCTCGTCGACCTCCTTCTCCTCCTCCTCCTCCTCAGTTAGATCTCCCATTCAAGCAATGATCATGATTGTCACATGACGCTCTGGGCTAGCCTGCAAGACGACACACCAGAATTCATATCCAGCCGCGCCGAGGAGCCACAGAGCATAGCTTGCTCGGTCGGAACGCCTGCTACTCTGCAAGGGGCGGGGCCAGCCAAGATCTCCACCAACTCCAAGGTGTTTATATACCTCGCAAAACCCTAGCCTTACGTCGGGCGTGTCCCCCTGCAGGGGGATTTTCGACGAAAAACAAAAATATTCAAAAAATGCTCCCAAATGATGAAAAATATCTTTAAAATTGTCCCCAGACTATTTGTGGACAATTTGTTGACTATGTTTGGGGTATTTTGTATTTGTCGTAGAAAATCCCCCCTGTAGGGGGACAGGCCCGACTTAACCTAGCCTCCTCCTCCTCCTCCGCTGCATCCTCCGACCTGCCCCCCTCCCCCTCCTCCAGTTCACTCCCCACCCTCCTGCGCCCTCCTCGTCCTTCTTTTCTCCATCCCTCCCTCGCCACCCTACCCCTCGCCTCCCTTCCTCCCTTCCTCCCTTCCTCCTTCTTCTTTTCTCCTTCTGTTCTCTCCCCATTCTCCCTCCCTCGCCACCCGACCCCGCCTCACCGCCCCTCCCAAATCTTCCCTTCCGCCATCCACCCCATGCTCTTCGCCCTCGCCTCCTTTCATCCCCTGTCCTTCAGCGGCTCATTCTGATACTCTTAGTCCTTCCCCTGCTACGTGATTGCAATTGTTCTGGCAGCCTTCCTCTTCCTCCAGCTTTTCCGCCCTCGCAAGCCGAAGGACAAGTAGGAGCGATGGGAACTTCCATGCGCCGGTGCTGTAGGCGATACTGTGAAATTATTCGTAGACGTGGCGGGGCCTCCCTGTGACGCCGGACATGTCGCTCAAAGGTGTCGTGAACAAGGCCCCCTCCCGCGAAGTGCTTGAACAATGCCGTGTCGGCCAAAGCGTTTCTCGCCCAGGGGCGGCGCCTGTGCCGCTCGCGCGCCGCGACAGCCCCAGTCGCGTGGCGCGTGGGACCGAGGAGTGGACGGAGTGGATAGGGGGCGGCAGGGGGGTGGCATTCAAGTTGGGGGCTTCGGTGCCCAGGTCGGGGTGGCCTTCCATCGTTGGGTGTACCGAGGCCCTCCGTCGGAGTGCTCCCCAGACGTCAGAAGGAATGCGCGCTGATGGGGCGGTTCGGGGCCATGTCGCATTTGGGGCTTCGGTTCAGAGTGCGTGTCCCGACTGCCTCTCTGGGTTACAAGCATAATGCAAAGCATCCTTAGTCTTGCCCGATCCTCCTCCTCCTCCTCCTCCTCCTCCTCCTCCTCCTCCTCCCGCTCCCTCCCTCCCTCCCTCCCTCCCCCTCATTCCTCCCTCTCCTCCTCCTCCTCTCCTCCTCCTCCTCTTCCTCCTCCTCCTCCTTCTCTTCCTCCTCCTCCTCCTCCTCCTCCTCCTCCTCCTCCTCCTCCACCCCTCCTCCTCCAGCCACTTTCCACCCCGGGGGCCGGTGCGCAGGCGTGTCAGGGTGTTCCGAGGGGCCGAGCGTGAGAGTGGAGATGGTCCCAGGAGCCATGCACACGCATCGTCTTTGGAAGCCAACGGCAGTGCGCGGGCCCAATCGCCCGAGAGCCGTCAAGAAGGTGCGCCGCCCCCCTAGGAGGCAACTACTGGGAGGCTTTCGTCGGAAAAATTAAGGATGATTCAGCCCCATTTGGGAGCTGTTACGCCAGAATGGGCCTCGGACTAAGCAGGATTAAACCGGATAAAGCGGGATTAAGCGGGATCAAGCGGGATTAAGCCGGCTTTCGGATCAGGGCAAAATCAGAATTTGACCTCCCCGGAGTTGCATCCGAAGTCCCCTGCCGCCGTCCCTGCCTCTTTGCTTTCTTTTTCACCTCCCGATGCCCAGCCGAGGACCGCGGGCAGTATGCAGGGAGATGCTGGAGATCCACACCGTCAGCTGCAACGCTGGGATCGGTGCAGCCGTGCGAGAGTAAATCAGCTACAACGCTGCGATCCACTCGTGCGGGAAGGGCGGCAATGATCAGCCAAGATCAAATACAACGTTTGGAGTCGTGCGTGCAGGGAGGAGCTGGAGGCGAAGCTCGAAGTCTAGACAAGCAGTAGGCGACGTTTCAGCTACCACGCTGGGAGTAGTTCATGCAAAAGGAGCGATGGGTGGCAGCTCGAGCTCTAGAGCCCGCGCGAGCTAACGCGACCAGCTCCAGGGCTGGGACCAGGTCGTGCGTGCGAGAAAGCCGAGCAGTGGCAGCAATCTCTGTCGGTCCTCAGCGTGGCAGGACGTGGACGGCGTATAAGCTACAACGCTGGGAGTAGCCCAGGCGAGAAGGCGGGCCGAGGGCGACATATCAGCTGCAGCGCTGGGGGGCAGTTCACGCGAGAGTGCAGGCAGTGAGCGACACGTCAGCTACAACGCTGGGAGCAGCTCATGCGAGAGGACAGACAGTGGGGCGACAAATCAGCGACAACGCTGCGAGTTGCCCATGCGAGAAAGCAGGCATTGAGCGACACGTCGGCTACGCCGCTGGCAGCAATTCGTGCGGAAAGGCAGGCAGTGAGCGACAGATCAGCTACAACGCTGGGATCAATTCACTGGCGAAGTCAATGCTGGAAGTAAGCCGTTCCAGAAGGGCGGCAGTGAGCGACATGTCAGCTACAACGCTGGGAGGAGTTCGTGCGCAGGGGAAGGCAGGACACGATGATTGCAAGAA